ATTGTAAAAAAAAAGTAAGGAAACAAAGCTGGAGATACTATAGACATTATTTATTCAAACTACAAAGCTCCTTTTTGACTCAACCAAATGTAATTCTAGGTAACAGCATAGAGCCAAAATAGGGGTTTGTAGTTTGAGTAAATAATGTCTACAGTATTTTCAGCCTTCACCAGTTTAAACTTAGTGTTTGCTTTTGATTTTTAGTTTTGTTTTTCAAATAATTCTTCCATAAATTGAATTCTAATTTCAAATATGAATTCAAATTTTGCGGTGTCGAATGACTAAGTTCCCACAAATGTTGAGGATAGTAATGACACTAGTCACCAGCAAGGTAGGTTGATAATATCTACTGCTTGGCAGTTGGCTCGTTCTCCCTTTCACCCTGAACAAGCTTCTGAGGAAGAATTTACTCAGGGTTAAGATAATTTGGACTATTATTTTTCTGGCCCTGGTCTTTTTTGGTCAGTGACATAATGTTGACACTCAGGAGAGTTTGACAACCTCATCATTCCTACACCTTATTGATCATTTATTTTAAATGTTTCACCCTTGGTCCTTAATTCCTCATCTACCTTGTTGGGTGAAGAACCTCATTCTGATTATGTTTTTCCTCCCACACCTGACAACTGAGTTCATGCTCAATGTTTTGCTGATCAATTTCTATAGGGTGCGGGTAAATCCCATCTCCCCTGGTTGTTGGACCAATATTCTTTGGATTACCTGTGGGCCTTGAAACCTTTTTTTGATTCTCAATGTCTGGATCCTCTCTTTGTGGAGTTTGAATCTGGGGCTTTGATACACTTTAATCAATCTCAACTTTCTAGGATTCATCTCATCCTGACCACCCTTTTGCATATATTTCCTCATTACAGTTGTTGTCTTAAGCCTTTCATCGGTCGCCTGATCAATTTTCTGATGAACTGAAGACCCTCCTGTGGTCTACTCTGGCTCGTTTATTGACATCTGTGCTGTCTCTCAACACCTGGTTATTATGTTGTTGGGATTCACTAGGGAGAGATGCATTACTTGAGGGGGTACATCTCTCCCTGTCTTCTTTGAGGGATCTTTATCAGGATCCGTTTCTTCATGAAACGATTTTTGGGGATCGTCCTCAGTCTATGGAGTTTCAAGTTGATGTGGCGAGTCTACATTCCCCCTTGCTCTCCCTGGCATCTCCTTTGTGCCTCTGACAGAACTCGTAGAACCCATGCATTCATCATGATGATACACCAAACAGTTGAAAATAGTTACAACCTGGCCCCCATCTGCCCTAGAAAATACATCCCGTCACCTATACTTCTGGACAGGAAAGGAACACCTGGAATATGGTAAGGGATGGGAAGAGGAAGAAGGGGCATGGGGAACTCAAACTGGTGAAGCTTGAACAGGAACAGCTGGATGAGACTTTGCCTCTGTTTCTGGTCCCCCTATCTTCTTCCCCAGTTTTCTTCTCTCCTCCTCAAGATCTTGCCTTTCTAGTCACTTCACCAAGCCGGTTTGAGACCTCCTACACACAGAAGCTATCAAACAGGTCATGCCCACTCATCTGGGATTTTACTTTAGTCTATTTGTTGTCCCCAAAAAGACGGGAGATTGGAGACCCATCATAGATCTTTTCCGGTTGAATACCTTTCTGGAGACACCATGGAGTCCTATCTCTCCCTTTGGTGGGTTTATTTCCCAGAAATCTGGATGACCGAGTCTGAAGTGACAGATCCCTATTTTCATATTCCCATATCTCCAGGGACATTGTTTTCTTCAGTTTATCCATGAGTACTGTGTCTTTCAATTCCATGTACTGCTGTTTGGTCTGTTCACTCATTTGCTCGACATCTTCACTTGCTGAGTTTTTGACTCATCATTACATAGACGACTGGCTTCTGCTTGCCTCTTGCACCTCTTCAAGAAGATGCTTGGGTGGAGATTCTTATCAAGTTGGAGAACTCTCTTCTAACCCCTACACAATATCTTATTCATTTAGGGGTTCTATTCAATTCCCATCTCAATTGGACCCAGCCTTCTCCACTTCGTCTCAGGGATATGGAGTCGGCAGTCACAAAGGCAGTACATTCGCCTTCTCTCACCGTGCCAGAGGTTGTATCTCTTTTAGGGACCTGGGCTTCCTTGGAAGCTCTTATTCCCTTGGGTCGGGCAAATACTCATTCCCTACAGTAGACAATTATCAACCAGTGGAACTTCTCCTATGATCTCTTGGATCAACCTAATGCTCTCTCTTCTAGGATCAGGGCTGACATTACATGGTGGCTTGACAGAGACACAACCATGGTGGGGATTCCCATTCCTCCACCTCATCTCAACACTCACCTGTTCATAGATGTTTCCTTGGTAGGTTTGGGAGCTTCCCTCGAATTCAGGGAGATTTTGGGGCAGTAATCGGTTATGGAAACTACATTACATATCAACCTCCTCAAACTTTTGGCTATTCGTTGGGCTATGTCTCATTTTTTCCCACTCCTCTGGGGGGGTGGATGGTGATGGTTCATTCTGACAATTTTATTGTTGTCAACTGTATCACCAAATGAGGAGGAACCAAGTCCTGGTCTTTGTGTTTTCAGCCTCTTGACCTCCTGTACTGGGCCCAGGATTACAATTTAACCATCTTACCAGGTCATGTTCTCGGAATTATGAATCTCATGGCTAATCGCTTGTTTCATCCCAACCAAGTTATACCTACAGAGTAGTCCTTTCATCCTCAAGTATTTCAGTGGGTGTGTTCTTGCCTAGGAACATCACATATAGATGCATTTTCCACTCATTGTAATACCTTTTGGTCTCTTGTTCCACACCCCTCAGCTCTGGAGGTGGATGCGTTCAATCAGGATTGGAGGGCCTTCTATTATATAGCTCAGACTAATCTCCACTGTCCAGACCACTCCTTGTTATGTTTTGCTAGTTGCTCCATGTTGACCAGCTCAGACATAGTTCCCTCTGCTCTGGCCCTTACTGGAGCAGCAACCCCTGCCCTTACCTCTGTCCAGGTCGCTCCTCTGATAACCATGATCAGACATATTTCATCTTCATGTGTGGCTTTTGTCTGATCCCTTGCCTCAGTTCAGGGACTCGCTCCTTGTGCAGCATCTTTCCTTACCCACACCATTCAACCTTTCTCATTGTCTGTGTACTAGATACTTTATTTAAGTGTATTAAAAATATTTCCCTAAAAATTATGACTTTTTTTGTATGTGAAAGACTTGTTAACTGAAATACTGCCAAATTTTGTGAAGATATACACACTATATTGAAAGTTAGAAGTATTAAGCATATAAAGACTTTAAGTGAGTAGAAAGAGGTTACATGGTCGGTCAAATTGACCTAGCCCGTGTTGAGCGAGTTAATGCAGACATTTGTTTCTTATGACATGGTGAGTGTGTGATATCTGCAATTTTCTTGAGAGTTTGGTAAATGATGTCAACAATATAAAAATTGTATTCTGACTAGAGTGAAGTAAGTTGTTTGATTATTGAGATAGCAAGTGTGTTAGTCAGTTGTCTATTACTTCAGTGTTGTGACGTTTTAGTTTGTGTTTCTGTGAACTACTAGAGATACAGTATGGAAGAATTGGTAGTTTAATGACCAGCATTATTTGTGAATTTTGGTATATTTCTTGGTGAACTTTTGGCAGAAGATATGCTTTCTATTAGACTGGAATTTGCATTATTCTTTTACAAATAGACCAAAGAGGCCCACTCATCAGTAGTATCTATTACAAAATTGATGTCAAGATTCAACTTCAAAATGATGATGCGTGCTCAAAGTAAGAATGGAGATTTAGTGGAAATGATGAAACAGTAGAAAGAAGAATTTAAATAAAAACCAACCATACGTCTTGATGGTACATCTAAAGCTTTGTTTCACTTGCAAAAGGCTCTATTATAAAGCTGTCATCCAAAAGCACACCACTTCTTCTCAGCACACTGGTACCTAGAATACATGGATGGCTTTTGTAATGTCAAAAACCTTTGTGTTCATGTATTCTCACCTGTTGCAAAACACCACACTTTACTTACCATGGCTAGGGTAAGACTTGTTTCAGTTCTTTTTCTGGATGCTGCTGGTGTTCTAGGTTGATCTATATACCTTTGTTTTCCATTATCATTAAGTACAATATATATATCTAAATCCCCCATCTGAACATATTTTTTATGATTAGAGTGTATCAATATTTTGCATTGAAAAGGCTGTTGTATACTCTACCTAATTTTAAAGATTGGGTTTGATATTCATGCACAATAATTGTACTTTATGTAATGTTTCTCTGATGTAATTAACATTTTCATATGTTTGTTTCCAGAATGGTTCTTCATTGTCAGCAACAGATGTGTTCTTTGCTGTGAAAACGTATGAGAAGTTTCATGACAATAGAGGTAAACAAGAGACATATATGTTTATCTCAGAATAGCATTAAATAGAAATTTAATTATTGGACTAAAAAGTAATATTATTCAGAATATTTACAAACTACCCACCTTGTTTGAAAATAATAGACTGTTGTGTGTGATTTAGCTTATGTGCATTTCCTGACAGATTTTTTCATTGAAGGCTCTGACTGGTTGAAGCTTTCTTTATAATAAAACAATCAAAGCCTTCATTTAGGAATACACATTTATGCTTTTTTTTTCAAAATTTTGAGTATGCATAGCATAGACATTTATCTTTCTCTTTGCCTTATTGATTTTTATAACCAGGTAAGTAATTTATGATCACAAAACATTTAAATTTGCTATTGAAACAAGGATTAAATTTTTAGCAACAAGGTAGCCTGATGACAGTTGTGTTATTTATACATATGTCAACTTCTCTGTATTTATATCTTATTGATAGTCCAAGTTTCTTGACAAATTTAATCATAGGATATGAGATAAACAGTATTATGTGTATTTGTCTGATGTTTGTATTTGTGTTTGATCATAATACTACTCCTAACGCTAATTATAACTTTTATTTTAATAATTGATATAATGGTGCTAATAACTTGCTGTATAAAACACTTTTTTTACATACCTATGACTTATTTTTATTTTTTTAATGATCATACCATTATTGTTATGTAATGAGTACTGTTATTGTGCTTATTCCAATATGAAATGTAAAACTCAACTATGTTTGCTTATTGTATCAGTTTGAACAGTCAAATACAAAGAACAACTAATGAGCATTTCTGAAAGAATGATCAACATTGGATTCATGTAATGCATGATGATTGTTTCTTACACACAAAGGTCTTACCTGCATCAGGTCACTTTTCTCTGGGCCATATGTGGCCTAGTGGTTGGCATGTTGGGCTATGTATCAAAAGATACAAAGTTTGAACCCACTGAATATGCTTTAAACTTCAACTGTGGGTGCATTATAAAAATGGCTGCCAAGCTCTATTCAGTGAGAGTAGCCTTGTAGGTGACAGGTGCTCTTAACTGATTGCCTTCCCTCTGGTCAGCAGTTATGGCTGAACCCTGGAATCTTTGATTTTACCATTTAACCCATATGTCAAATAAGGTGCTCTTCAGATTTAAAGTAGCAAACACTTAAGTGAGAAGATGCCTATGTACTGACATTTTTACAAAAAAAAAAGCAAAATCTGTGATAAAGTTGAAAAAGGAGATTAAAAAACATAAAATGATAGTTTGTACTTTCATTTTTATTTATTCCAATTTAGAAGGAATGTGGAACCAAGCCAATATTTTTTATATTATTCTAAAAATCTACAGATACACTACATGTTTTGCCATTTGTTACTTTTATATGTAATGCATAAAGTGAATCATGAAGTTTTGAATGATCGAAAGTCCTGCAATGCGAGTAATTATAAAAATATAATTACATCTACAGTATTTAAACAAATAATATTATTACTGTAATAAAAAATTTTAAATGGACAGTACGCACGAACTAGGGTAGAAATTTATTGTTGGAAAAGTAACAAACAGTGTCATATCCACTTCTGCAACATTTTTTAAAACAAAAAATATGTCTCTGACTTTAAATGCTCAGTATCAAGTACAGATAAGGCTTGTATCTGCTTTTAATTGAGGATAAGAATGCTGTGATCCATATAAAAAATGAGTCCTAATAATTATCATCATGAGGGTCATCTTCAGTTTCATTGTCTAGAATGCTGCAGAACACCCTTTGGCTTTAAAAGAGGAAGGCCAAAGCTTTTAAGATTTTTTCTGTCATAGGCCTTCACAATTGGTTTGTAAGTTCTGTTGCTTTCTCCACATCATCAATTTATTATACTTGTAATTTTTGGAAGATTTAATCGTAATGTAAACCACCATAGTATCTCATCCCAGGATATTTCTAGATAAACAGAACAGGGATTTGTAACGGGATGCCATGCAGGCTAGCCTTTTGGGGTTCGACTTAAAATCCAGTTACAAATAGATTTATTTAAAATCCAGGTATACAGTTGTGAGGGGAGTAAACATCTTGAGGATGTATTCAAAAATGCATAAAATCTTTAATACAAAATATTCAGATATTCATCTACATTAACATCAACAAAAGTATCTTGATAAGCTTTCACATCAAAGGAATCAAATGTTTTGTTCTGAGCACTCAGTGTTTCTCTAATTAAACTTTCTACAATATTCATCAAATGACTTACTATATCGAACAAATTAACAAGTAAAACATTAGATGAAATGTTCTCAGACATACTTTATGAATTATTCATCTTACATCAGTTCATAACTATGTTATTCGACTAAGAGAGGTAGCAATAGTTATTTTCCTGGAAAGTTCTCAATATTCTTGAAGACAGCATTCTGGTCATCGATTAAACTGGAGGTATTGCAGGATTGGTTTTCATTTGTCAGCAGGAACTGCAATCAAGTAGAAGTAGTAGAACTGATTTTTAGCCCCAAAACATGGGTTTTCATATAGATTTCTTTGCATTCTTGTGATTCCCCAAGTAGTGTAGAACTAGAACCAAAACTAAATCAATAATTGGTTGTGATCGAAGATAGTAAATTGGCATGTCTTCATTCTGATCAAAGTTCTGCCAATGGTCTCTGATTTCCTTTCTAATTCATTTTGTAGAAATTATTCCCTGCCTTAAATCAAATTACCATAAATGTTCTCATAGCTTTCTCTCTGCTACAGTTGCATCTGTTTATGTACATGAGATAAACAGTTGGTTCACATTACTGCCTGAAATGCATCCTAGCTTATGCTTGACATAAACATTTCCTCTCTTGGGCAAGTGTTGTTTTGTAACTTCTCTTATGAATCCATTAAATGTGCCCAGCTTTTCTTTATATTGCAAATATGTATGTCGTACATGGAATTTTGTAAAATGTATTTCTCACTCCATAAAGCATTTGAAAATAGTGTAAAATGCCACAAATGCTTCATTCCTCTCTCCTCAAAATTTTTTTATGTTCAATATAAATTTCACCACTAAACCTCCATGTTTCACCTTCTTTCGTTGCATTGAACAATGCGTACAATAACCTCTCTAAATATATTTGATTCCAATTTATACTATATCCTAAGCCTTAATATTGACCGCATACTTAATCACAAAAATTATTCTCTTTTTTTCTCATTACATAACACGAAAATGTTTATATTCTCTTAGTCATTTTACTTGTTATTCATCATTTATTTATGCCTTTAACATACACGTACAAAAATCAATATCATTATTCAATAACCCATATGCATACTATTAACATTAGACCTTTACTCATAATACTAAGTCAGTGAATTACGAATCTCAAAATATCAATTCCTTAAGTGATATTAACTATCTGAGACTAATACATGATTAGTAATTAACATCAACTATATAACCAGAATATAATACATTTCAAAATGCAATTTCTCAAGTTCATACATATGTTATGTAAATAATACAACTTTTTATTTCATATTCTTGCTCTTTCTTTTTACTTATATATATATACTTATAGATTAATCAATTTAATCATATTAATAAATAACACCAAATTAAAACTTAAACTAGAATAAATAAAAAAATTCAGCAATTTGAAGACATTGTATTTACAATCAACCATTGTCTTCTTTCTTCTTCTTCTGTCATTTTCTTTCCATTAGTGTCTTCTGAAGTTTTGCATCACACTAAAATTCATGACAAAAATGATGAAACAGTTCACTGTTAATTACCCACTCATACTGTACACACTGCAGTGTTTTGTGCAGTGTTCAAAGGGGTTACGTAGTAGTTGCATATGATGTGACTTTCATGTGACAGTCATCAGTATGAAGGACATCCAAAGTCTTCTAGATTCACACACACAGCAACCCCATAATCTGACTAATCATTTTTGCTTTTTCAAGTCCTTTAGAATATAGTTTTGTATAGTCATTTCTAATCTTGTGACTAATGTCTGTCAATTCTCTAAAGTTATATTGGCCTTCTTCCCAATTGATATTGTATAGGTGGGTTGTACACCATTCCACATGTCTCAGACTCTCTTAACTTAACACGTCCTTGGGAAATGGAGCTCTGAAACTGTAAGTGTCTGACCATTCTGTAAAGCAATCTTTGATGGCTAGCTCCTTTACAATATAGATACCATCCACTATAAACCCTTCGACTTCTACAATAGCTGCTTTGTTTCATTTCTTCCTGTAGTTATAGCACATATGGTCAACACTAGTCAAGACATTGTGAACATTACAGTACCTTGTAATATTATTCTGGTTTATGTTTCTTTGTCATTGTTCCAACACGTTCACAGTCAATTTCGAGTTGTTTCCAGTTTATGCAGACTTACTTTCGCACTTCACATCTACACTAGTTCACATCATGCACATCACGTTTTTGATCACATTGTCTTTGAATATTGTTTTACTCATTCTTGTGTAATTGGTTCTCATTCTTCTTTCTGTCAGTGATTAAACTAATCCTATTGATTTTGCCTATTAATTTGATCTGTAATAATTGCATTTTATAATTCTCTAACCTCATTGATTCGTTAAACTAACCTAATTTTGTCATCAGTCTCTACAATTTGTCTGTCTCTTAATTAGATAGTTCACAATTGTTCAGTTGGACCACTTCAGTAGTCTCTGAATATGACAATCTTTGGTTGCATTTTTCTGCTCTCTTTCACTTTTTGAATTTTCATAATCCATCTAACTCCAGCAATCTAATAAAAGCCAATCTGTCATGTGTTTTATAGAACAGCATGCTTACTTGTACAATTATTAAGCATAGTGTTATGAGCAGTGAATTAGACAGCTTCTACTTATCTAACCTGTTTTTCTCTGCTGTAGCTCACAAGTGATCTACATGCCATTGAAACTCTTTTAATAGTTAATCCTGATCTTTTAGGGGCAAATGCTGAGTTTCTTCTAATATGCTTGTCAGCTCTTTAATCTGTGAATCTACGTTTAT